CTTGGTTTATGAAATGTTCATTTAGATTGAAGTTTTAAAACTGTAACCAAATCTTTGTAAGTCCTTTTTCTTAGCAATTAGTCTGAATCTTAGATGTAATCCTTCTATTCATCGAGTCTAGCTGTCTGGAGTCTTCTGTGCTAACGATTATGTGACAGAACCAACTCTGCTTATACTTACCGCAATACCTGAGGGGTCCCGATGAAGTGGTAGCTATAGCTTTTACGGCTATCAGTTAATAATTTGGCTTCTTTAATTCACGGCTAACGGTTCATTTATTTATCTTACGTTTGACAGAAATCTTGGAAATTAATAACCATTGTTTCAAAAAGCACAAATTTATTTTGATTCCTGTAAAAATAATATTGAAGGCCTTTGAACCATTCCGGCAAGGGAAAAGGTATTAAAGGTATTATTGAAATTCTAAAGTACTACTTTTTCTTATTTTCTAGTATTTTTAATTTTTTTTATTTGCTGTATTTGTCTTAGTATTATTAATATTTGTAATTTAGATTGAGGTCCACAGTTTTTCCAGTCATGTGCTACCCTAGAAAAATAAAGTTGTTACTTACTTACTTAGCTTACTATTATAAGAATTTTATTTTCTAATATAGTAAGCTACAAACACAAGCCACAGGATAAGACACAAAAAGGTCTTGACAAGAGATGTGGAGACTTAAAGTTTTTTGGCTAATTTTTTTTTGTTATTTTTTTTTTTTTATCGTTAACTTTTTTACGGTTAACGGATTAAATTTCCCATATTTTACGTCTAACGGCTAAATTTTTGGTCTGTTTTACTGGTAACGGTTAATCCCATTGAGATTTGAGACCCTCATACCTTAATCTCGTTTCCAGACTCCCGCGCGTTTTTGGTCAGCGGTGACCGAACGAACGACAGAGGTGCGTCTCGATTTTTGACCATAAGAATGGAGACCTCTAAGAACAAGAACGACAATTAATAACTGTGAAGCTCTCCGCGTGACCTGCTTACGGCTTTAGGTAGTAAAATAATGAGACAAGACAAGCCTTCTTCTCTCGTTTCTTTCCTGTCATCAACAAAGCTCCTCCCTCTTACATATTTTGGCCCAGAACATTTTTGAAAAGTTTGAACTGATCACCAATGAAAAAAATTTATTCCGCATTAACAACAATTAATCTCAATAATTTTCATTTAGTAACATCTTTCTAGCTTGTTCATTGAATCGTAATATGAATTTTAGTCGCTTGGTCGGTGCGCTGATGCGATTTAAAGACGACCCGTTAATTTTATTGTCGACAGTACAGCCCACGATGTCAGCTCCATTGGCTCACCTGTTTTGCTATGAATCCTAGTGCAGGTGAAATGAAATGTAAATGAAACTATAGTGAAATGTAGACGACAAGTTAATTGTCTCAACGGACTTAAAGCATAGTACAGCCTACGGGAAACGTACTGTAAGGTGAGGCGATGAAATCTCGCACAGTTTACTTGATAGGACTGTTAGGCGTTAGAAAAGAATTGGTGATATTTTTATAATCTTTTTCCCGTCTGCTAAATTGGTCAGATTCCCAAAATAAAGTAAGTAATACATTCTATGCGATGACATTAATGCGAGAAATAGAAACTAAAATCGTTTACGTTATGTATCTTCTTACCGTGTAAGCAAAAGAATACATTAACACTGAAGTGAACTGGGCACGTATTCCGGATCTAAAATTTTTTCAGCCTTCTAGAGCGACAGATATCCCCCGCGAATTATGGCAAATGAATCAATTCGTTCGCCAAAAGCGATCGGCAAGTGTCACTTGGAAAGTTATCATTTTATCGGGTTGCTAATGTTTCCTTAACCACAATTTGCTTTTCCAACGCAGCCATCCACTTCGAGGGTTAATATTGCAAATGAATATATAGAAGATCACTCCCACGAGACAGTTCTGTTAATCGTATAAAATGAACGAGAACTAGTCGAGTCCACTTTCGTTATATAAAAGATCATACATTCGAATTGCGGAGAAAGATGTAACTAAAGACATGAATGATGGTAATCCCAGTGATCAGACTTGAACGGGACAGAACGTTCAAGCCTGATTTTTTTAAATTTATTTATTTGCTTGTTTGCGTGTTTGTTTGTTTGGTTTTTCAGGCTTTATTTTCACAGCTGATTAAGTTGCGTACAACACAGCGATAATAATTTATGTCTTTACAGGGAGTTGACACTATTCCGGTGGGGTGAGCATTTACGTCGCGGGAAAAGGTTGGAGATGCTTGTCGTTTCTATAGGAGTGTTTAGGACGAGCCGCAGTCCGCGGTACCTTTTAGCGGTCAAATAAAGCGAAACCACACCAAGATTGGTCTTTTAAGGGCTTAATCAGGTTTTAATTCAAACGTTCCGACTTGTGTGCCCGACTTTTTCACATGGAGGTCCTCCCGTGGGATATTTCAGCATTACTACTACCGTACCATAGACACCAAACTAAGCTGCGCTCTACAAGCTAGTTCAGCTGGCCCGTAGCACTCACTTCACCTTCAAGTTATATTTTCTCATCTTTTTTTTTCTTTCCGTAATTTATTCATTTTGAGTTTCTACTGTTCTAGGACTGAAGCGTGATTATTCTTCCTCAAAACCGTTTCCAGCACTTTCCATTACGGACTTTAAGAACTTCGAAAATCTCCTTGAATTAATAAACTCTGCATGAGGCACTTCACTGAGTTGTTTGGTCTTGTTAAAAGCAGCCCATGGTACAATGCTTAGCTTATCTTAACGGACTCTCTCTTTCTTTTTAGGGATGAATTTCCTACAGTTTACTTCGCTTATAAGTTTTCTTATTTTTCTTAATGTTACATACATTCAGGTAAGAGTCGATTTTAATAATTAGTATAATAGAAATTGTGGAAGCGCGGTGGCCTTATGTGTTGCCTTACGGAAGTGCGGTCGCCCCCGGATCGTGCGGTTTAATCTAGAGCCCTGGCCGGGAACATTTTATGTTGAGGAAAACCGGCCGAAGATAAGCGCCGGGCTGATGGGCCACTTGGCTCATATGCAGACTTTGCCATAACTGAAATTAATTGCGTCTGTGAGGACTGTTGTTTAAATTCTATGCAGAACTGAAAATGCACAAAGAAATAATGGTCGTAAACTGATGATGTCCTGTTTGAAATGTTCTTTGAAAACATCTTTTGCAATATGAACAATTGCAAAAGAAGCCTAATGCATATAAGCGAATTTTTTTGCTATCTTTTGGTAATGTCTAAGAAGGATGATTCAAGCTTTATTGCCTTCAGTGATCTTATTCTCAATTATTTTATTTTCAGTTCTTTTATACCATTCAGACACTTATTTGCTCACTGGCCACAGTTGTTTCTTTATTAGGCGGAAACAAGCATGGACAATGTAAAAGCGATATGGAATCGATATTCGCAAGTGACGAAAGGAGATGTAAGAACTCTTTGGATGAATTAGGAAGAAATGTGATTATTAACTAGCGATAAAATAAATGGTAAAAAAATAATGAGGGGAGTCATAGTGGGGGGCGGGGGGGGGGGGTGTGGGCGTGGAGGTAATCCGAGGGATGGCGCAGTGATGAGAGTGCTCGCCTCCCAACAATGTGGCCCGGAATCCGATTCTGGCTCTGTGCCATATGTGGGTTGAGTTTGATGTTGGTTCTCGCCTTGCTCCGAGGGTTTTTCTCCGGGTTCTCCGGTTTTCCTCTCTCCACAAAAACCAACATCTCCAAATTCCAATTTGACCAGGATAGAGGACCAGCATGAAAACCAGCTAAGGCTGATGTGGCTTCCTCTCTAAATATTGTAATGTATTATTCAAAAAAATCAACAGGCGCGCAGCCACATTGTCGGAGAACTTCTGATCACGACAGCTTGGTGATATCAGTCGTCGTCCTTGGTAATTCCCTTTTTGCACATTTTCTACTGCACACATAAGATAACGCTTGATTTTCTTTAACCGTGAACATCAAAGAGAAGATGAAAAGAAGATCTCTGTTGACGTGACTTCAACGACTTTAGGACCTTACTCAGATATCTCTGCATGTGAATATATATAAACATATCGAAGGTTATTTCTCTCTTTTCAATTAGAGCACCTACTACGGAGATTATCCAGGAGGTGGAGCATGCGCATTAGATCCACCGTCGCCGCTGAACAAACAGCCTGACTGGATCATGGTTGCAGCTGGAAAGGATGACTACCAGAAGTCACTTGGATGCGGCATGTGTATTAAAATCACGGCCAATGGAGAACAAACGAGCCCCTCTACTGGGGGACCCACTCCCATGAAAGGCACCTACAAGGCCTATGTTGGTGACCTGTGTGGAGGATGCAAACAGGGTGGGTCGACTATGGTAATGGTTACAAACTAGTGAAAGGCATACCAGTTTATTACCACCATATGCACGAGTCTACAGCAGTTAATGAGACATCACTGGCCTCTATAACTTTAAATGCAAATGGCATTAACATCGGCATATCTATAAGAATACATGCCAAACTTGAATTGATGATCGCCTTTGTTGAAAAATACTGCACTAGAACAAAATTATTTTCTCGTGAGCACAAAATTTAACAGAGTGCATGGTATCTTTTTAAATGGGAGGTTATAATCTTAAGTTGAAAACGTCGATATTACTAACGTTTTTCAAATAATTACCTTTTGTCAGTTGAGAAATAATAACCAAGAAACGTATTGCAGTTATTCCACTATAACAATACACTTACTATTTACATCATGTTATATAACAATTGGCATGCTTGACCTTTTATATTTGTTGTCATCTTGCATCCGATCCTCGCAGCCGGTTTTGATCTTTATATCGAAGGCTATGGTAAGTACAAGACCTCATTCAAAGCAGTCGAGTGTCCTACTGTACCTGGCAAAGATG